TCTTCAGTGATCCGTTCGACCCCTTCGTGATCACACAGGCTGATATGTTCTTCCATAGTGCCGAGAATTTTAGTGCGGTATTTTGAGATAACAAATCATTCTTGACGTTATAGACAACAATTTTATCATGGTAGAATGTACATTAGCAGATGAATTAAAGATTAGTGAACATACGTTTAAAATAAATATCTTGTTTTTGATAAGACTGAATATTTTGGTTTAGAATTTGGCAATTAGTTATTCTGAAGTCAAAGATATAAAGACATAAAAGTTAACAGTTGACTTTACATGGTTTCAAATAAATTTGTTGAACACAATCTGTAGAACTATAAAGCGCTCTCCTTTTGGTTTGGATTGTTTTTGACATAACTAAGAGTGAGTGTAACTACTTTATATTAAACTCACTAAGTCACGAGATTGTCTTTTATGTTTGTTTCTTCAGTGAAATAGAAAAGTCTGGTACTGTCTCGATAGCCAAGCCAAGTGTAATTGAGCATTCTGAAACTAATTGTGATGTTGGTGACACCCTTGATGCAAGTACTCCAGCCGAACAACCTTCCTTTGTCAGTCCACCTGAAAGGTGAGTGGAGACAGTTTTTGTCTGTTGTATGTGTATGTAATAGCAGTCTCATAGCTGAATGGACTTTGGTATATGCATAATTGTACTTGTGATTGAGAGATAGCTGGTCTCAAGTTCCTTCTTGGTTTATATGATCATTACTGTAGTTTAGATGAACTGAGCTTGTCATCTAGCTAAAGTTTGTCTGTATATTTTTGGTTTCAAATAGCCTTGTTGGCCAACATATAGAAAATGTGTCATCTTCACATGGCAAAGGAAAGATAACGAAATCAGAGTTTGAGTCAAAAAAAGTTACAGCAAGTGAACCAGCTGGTGGTGATCCAAAATCTGCATTGAATACTTCAGATAATTTAAAAAATGAGGTAAGTATATACTGTACCATTTCCTACCTTATTAAGCAAAATACTTTTAATATATGTTCAATTTTTTTGCATTTAAAAAAATCATTTTACTCAGGGCTCATACAACTCTTATCACAATCCGTACCTACATCAATTGTGTAAAGTACATTTGTACATTCATTGCCCTCATTCTCAAAACATTTCCTTTCCACTTAAGTCCCTGACATCCGCTCCTCCTTTCCCTCCTCCCTCCCCACTTCCCCCTCCCTGAGGAACCCTTGATAATTTATAAATTATTATTTTGTCATATCTTGCACTGTCCGATGTCTCCCCTTCACCCATTTTTCTGTTGTCCGTCCCCCAGGAAAGAGGTTATAGGTAGATCCTTGTAATCGGTTCCCCCTTTCCACCCCACCCTCCCGGTATCACCACTCACACCTTTGGTCCTGAAGGGATCATCTGCCCTGGATTTCCTGTGTTTCTAGTTCCTCTCTCTACTAGTGTACATATTCTGGTCTAGCCAGATTTGTAAGGTAGAATTGGGATCATGATAGTGGGGTGTGGGGTGGGGGGAGCATTTAGGAACTAGAGGAAAGTTGTATGTTTCATCGTTGGTTACACTGCACCCTGACTGGCTCGTCTCCTCCCTGTGACCCTTCCGTAAGGGGATGTCCAATTGCTACAGATGGGCTTTGGGTTTCCACTCCGCATTCCCCCTTATTTACAATGATATGATTTTTTTGTTCTGATGATGCCTGATACCCAATCCCTTCGACATCTCGTGATGGCACAGGCTGGTGTGCTTCTTCCATGTGGGCTTTGTTGCTTCTGAGCTAAATGGCCGCTTGTTTACCTTCAAACCTTTAAGACCCTAGACGCTATATCTTTTGATTGCCGGGTATATGTTCATTTTTATAGTAATTTACTAACCATCAGAGTAGGCTGATGAAGTAATTAATGCTGTATGTATAACTGACACGAACTGTTCCCTTACAGTAAAACTGCTTAGTAAACTAGGCTGTGACCCCATGTGGGATCAAATAATGAAGTGTGGAGGTTGGGAAACATTTGGCAACAGTTTCAGGTTCTGAGTATGCAACAACCAAAAATTAATTCAAAACTAAAGATGTAATGCATCTGAGATGTTTCTGGCAGTGCTTACTCATGCCTCATCGCCTGACTTCGTTGCGTGCCACCTTGGTTCTGAACACATATCATGCACTTGTAGTCAAAATATATCACGAGAGATAGATGTTGTGCTTTGTAAAACTACCAGTGTTGTGCTTCAAAATAGTATGAAAATCATTACCTTCATTAAAAGTGTCGTTTGATTTGTATACTTTTTATACTTTGAATACCCAAGGTTGTATAAAAATTCCTTGCGTGAAAAGGGGTTGCTTGGGAGTGGGAAAAGTTTTAAGAAACCCTGCCTAGAGCAAGTGTCACTTCAGGTTGTATACTGCCTGTATAGATATATAGATATAGATAGTTTTTGCTTATATGGAATCTTCTTTGCTTATATCCATTTCTAAAAGCCCTGACTTAAACAATTTCTTAGAGACCTATCGAGAGGCAGCCATGACTATTAAATATGAATGTCTTCTACATTAACTCACTAATACAAGGTGAAATTTAGACTCCTCCAACCTAGTGACTTTCAAAGGACTTCGACCTTATTGTGTGCAACATACAACTAGATTAAATATAACACATTATATTGCAGGCTGTGATTCTTGCAATAAAGACAGCTCATCCCAGTGTAGTATTTTTATTTTCATTTGAGTTCTTGATTCATATAGTGCCGAGTTTTTAATTTCCTAAAGAAATGTCTAAATAGATTTTGCACATTTCTCAAAACATTGTTAATAAATACATCGTATTACTTTAGGGATATAGAAATTAAATAACGGAATGAATGGAACGTCTCTTTTGTCTTCCTTGTTTAAGATAAAGTATAATACAAATTAGATTTCTTCTCTCCTCTTTAGATATAACCACCATCTTGATATATGATGTGTTTGCATTTTAGTACATGTTTTTTTTTTTTTTAAACATTTTATTAGGGGCTCATACAACTGTTATCCCAATCCATACACACATCAATTGTGTAAAGTGTATTTGTACATCATTTCTCAAAACATTTTCTCTCCATTTAAACCCCCGACATTAGGTCCTCATTTTTCCCCTCCCTCCCCGCTCCGCCCTCCCACATGAGCCCTTGATAGTTTATAAATGGGTATTTTGTCATATCTTGCCCTGTCCGACTTCTCCCTTCATCCACTTTTCGGTTGTCTGTCCCCCAGGGAGGAGGTCACACACAGTTCCATGTAATCGGTTCCCTCTTTCCTACCCATTCTCCCTTTACCCTCCCTGTTTTGCCACTCACACCACTGGTCCTATAGGGCTCATCCGTCCTGGATTCCCTGTATTTTCAGTTCCTATCTGTAGTACATGTTTTTAAACTTTTTTCAAATCGGTGTAACTAAAGGATATACTATTGTTTTCAGCTTATTTTGAAATAATACAAAACAAGCATGATTCTTGCTTGGCATATTCTTTTAGTCAACATTTTGGGGGATTTATCCTTTTATTTTCCTTCCTCAGCTTTGATGTGTTCTATCAGGGCTTTATAGTGTTTCGTAATGCCCATAATAAACTGGGCCATACATTCATTGCATAGCAAGCAAATCTACAGCCTGTGGGATTTGATCTATTGCTCTCCATAATCCTGTCAAAATCATTCCATTTCCCACTTCAGGTTCCTTTAATTTTTAGGAGAAAGGAGTGTGGCAGGATTTTTGGAGAGCAACATCTTGTTAGGACTTTGGAGAGCAGCACACATTCAAAACAAAGATGGTCAGTGTCCATCTCAGAGGAAAGCGCGGCTGTCTGTTTCCTCCTCGGATCAGAAATAACCACAGGCAACATATAGAGCAACCGTTGTTTATTTACTACGGCAACTATTGAACTTTTTGTCCCAGTTCGGAGCCCAGAGCCCAGATTCTACTTTATCATTCCTCAATTAATGGATATTTAGGTTGTTTCTAATGTTGATATTTTAAAGATAACTGCATGAACATTTGCATGCATATTTTCTTCAGGCCCATGTACGCATTTGCACTACATTGCATACATAACTGTAGATCTTTAGCTTTTCTTAATATTGCCGAATGTTAAGCCTCCTTGAGCAGTCTAATCGATTTCCCGTGGCTCACAAACATCCCACATTTAGTATAAGTTATGTCACACCTGTGGTTTTTATGATTATTATTGATTACTATTGAGATTGGGCAGTGTTCCACAAGGTCCAAAGGCTAAATCACCTGCCATTCCTCGGAAGAGAGGCGTCGCTTTGTATCCTGTTAGAGGAGTTAGTCTCGGACACTCAAGGGGCACTTCTACCCTGCCCTGTTATAGAGCTGCTATGAATCAGCATCGACTGATAGCAGTGAGTTGAGTTTCTGAGATTGGGCACTTTTTGTGTTGTTTTGTTTTCTCTTTGCTGAATTTATTCACTTTCATTGCCTCCCTCCCCCCTTGTTGTTTGTAAGAGCCTTTATAATCGATATTAGTCATTTGTTGACTCATGTTGCAGATACTTCCCACAAGTTGTAGCAAATTGATCATTATAGTTTATGATCTTTTGATGTATTTTTTTGTTTGTTTTTGTTGTTGATGTATTTTTTTAATCTGACAAAATATATATTTTTTCATGATTTATGCTTTCTGCATTTTAAATAATCTTTTACTGAATCATAAAGCTGTTTAATTTTTTCTAAAATAAAATAATTCCCTTTTTGATTTTAGGTTTTTATAGCCACCTAAAATTTTTATGGTATACAGTACTTGTTAAGGATTTTATGAAAATAATGTTACACTTATAATTAGTGTCCTTTATGTATTGCTTAGACTTAGGTTTTAAAGTACATATACTTCAACTACAATAACTTATTAATTTATAAAGTTTGAGTGTTTCCTAACAACTTTTACAACTCATGTTTATATTGTGGTACTTAGATAAAAGGCAATGAATTCTTTTAAGATATTCTCAATTTTAAAGTAAACCCAGACATTTATTTATCTATTTTTCCTCAAATAGTATTTTTCATTAAAGAAATCAAGCTTTAAGTAATTTGACACATGCATATATACCTTTATAATTTATTAATCTGTAGTCCTTGACAGTTGAAATCTGGTAATTTTGACATTCCTTTCAGAGTTCTGATTTTAAAAAGGCAGGAGAAATTGATCCTTCTCTAGCAAGCCCCAAAGATCCAGAAGATATTCCTACATTTGATGAATGGAAAAAGAAAGTTATGGAAGTAGAAAAAGAAAGAAGTAAGCTCTGGGATTTATACCCTTCTTCCCTTTTTAAAATTTGAGTTTGGATTTCTCTTTTCAGTTACTGAAATAAACTAACTTTTGAATGTTTTCAAAGGTGCAACTGAGCAAATTGTTGTTGATTGTTTTGCTTGGGTGCCACCTATTCCAACCCATGTGTGTTAAGAGTAGAACTGGCCCAAAGAGTTTTCTTGGCTGTAAGATTTACAGAGAAGCCCGGATGGTGCCGTGGTTAATGTTCCGCTGCTAACTGACATTCAACCCCAGCTGTTCCTCTAGAGAATGACGTGACAGTCAGCCTGCATAACGATTACAGCTCCGGGAACCTTATGGGGCAGTTCTAGTCTATCCCAAAAGGTAACATGGTCTGGAATCAACTCGGCTTTGGTTTTTATCTTTGTAGAAGTTGGAGTATAGCTGTTGGGTAGGTTCCAATAGCAGCTAAGTGCTTAACCATTTCACCAGCAGAATTCCTTAGTTGTTAATTATGCATGTGCATTTTGTCTGTGTATCATTATATAGTTGTAATCTCAATTGAAATAATTTTCATAAATTGCTGCTTTAGGATAGAATGAGATAAACAAGAGAAAGAATTGATTTTCATCTGAATTGATTAAAGGCAAATTGAGACATGGAAAGTTGTCTTAAAAGCCTTAACAAATCAGAATGATTACAGTTTAAATGGTCACTACTTTCTCTTATAATTTACTGCAGATAGACTCGGATTAAAGTCCTGTATTTTTTGTCCTTGTAGAGCAAATCTTGGAATTCAGAATTCTTAATACTGGGGTTATATTTCCTTAGTAGAATAAAATGTAGAGGCAAAAACATTTTTGATTTTTATTTAAAAGTTTCGTTTTGTGCATTATACTCCTGAGACCTAAATCAAATAATATGGACTGTCATAGTTTATTTATTAATTGAAGTAATAAGTGATTGAAATGAATCTTACTATTAATTTAAAAATATTTTGCATGAAGATCTGTTCTTCTTTTGAAGTCACCCTGTTAATTTTGAGATCATTTGTGCTGCTGAGGGTATTTTCCATTATAATCACCATGTAAATATGTTTATAATAAGGTTTGTCTGCAGGTCAGTCAATGCATCCATCTTCTAATGGGGGTCAACATGCCACCAAAAAAGTCCAGAAAAATCGAAATAATTATGCCTCAGTAGAATGTGGTGCCAAGATTTTGGCAGCTAATCCAGAAGCCAAGGTATGTAATTGTAAACAGATAACTTTATTAGATTGAGGTAGTGGTTTGTTTGCTGGAAGCTCTATTTTAACATGAGCTATATACCTCATTCATTAATACATACAAGATTTTGCCTTTAAAGATATCTTTATGTGTGAGTTCTTAGTTATATTAATTGTCCTTGTTGCTTGGCATTTAAACTTTGCATGATTTTTTAAAGAAAATAGTTAATAGAAAGTTACTTTTTATTTATAGTAACACATTGAAATGTTTTGTTGTAAGACTCATTTAAGCCCTGTAGCAATACAGAGCTTCCATCTTAATGTTTTTTGTTTTTTTCCAAATGAGTGTTTAATATTTTGGGTGTTATCTTAAGAGATGTAACTACAGAAATTCTAAAACTGTGTTTAAAGTTGAAGTAAATATACTTTTTATTAACATTAACTAATTTATCCCTCCCCTCCTTTTTAAACAGAGCACATCTGCTATTCTTATAGAAAACATGGATCTGTATATGTTGAATCCTTGCAGCACTAAAATTTGGTAAGTCATATACAAATGTAAAAACATATTCTGTATGTCCACCTTATGTTACATTTTTATGTTAGGGCTAGATTGGCTTATTCATATAACCATTCAATAAGTATTTTTTGATTGGTGCCTGTACTGTGGTTCCATACTTATCTTAGTTCTTTGGGTATGGAATTGAATATAAGATGGCTTTCATTTTAGGAAGGTCACAAAAAAAGTGGTAGATATGGTTTAAAAAAAGTAGATTAAAAAGTGATGCTGAAAGGATATTAGTGTTATAAGAATAAAGTAGGGGAAGGTGGATGAAAGAAGGATTCCAGAAAGAAGTTGAATCTTAAAGGACTCAGGAATTGGCAGATCAAGGTATCAGGAATGTAAGAATAAGGGGATATTGTTAAATGAGCACATCTCTTCGGGTCAAGTATAGACATAGACAGAAACAGCCTGAAGTAGTTTTTCTTTTAGGCATGACAAGAATGAAGATACAATGAGTAGATGGTACAAGATGAGGATAGAGTTCAGCAAATAACATGTTCTTCAGTTGCGATGTGTACTCAAAGCTTACAAAAAGAAATGTTGGGAGAAGGGAGAACTTTATGCTATTGGCTAAGGAGCGCATCATTTGTTTTTTAAATAAGGGAGTGATTTGATCTTACTGCCATTTTCAGACTTGTCCTTAAAGGATCATATAGTAAAGAATCATTGAAAGTAGGGAAACCAGTTAAGAACCAGTTGTCTTAATCCAAGTGGGAAACAAGGGCTTTAAACTAAGGCATTGGTGGTTTGGACATGGGAAAGGGGAAAGCTATATTTAAAAAAATATTAATAGCTGATAAAATTGACATCTCTTAGCTATTAATTAGATATGGAGAAGAGAAAGGTATATAGAGAATTTTCCAAAATTTTAACTTAGGTCTCTAGGTCTATGGTTCTACTATTAACTAAGAATATAGGAAAAAGAACAGATTTATGGGGGAGTAGAAAATAATGTGTGATGTGTCAGCAGTTTTTTAATTACTGATTTTATTGCTCAAGTTGTTTTTTTAAACAAAGAAATGAGGTAAACCGCTGCCATTATGTTGGTTTAATCATAAATATATATGTGAGGTGGCTCTCAAAGAGTTCATGAAAAAGTGGAATTTTTAATTTGAGAGAGCTGTTTTAAACCTTGAAGAATGCTTATTCTTTTAACTTTTGAGTGTCACTCCTTTTTAATGTATGTACTTTAAAAAACTGAACACGTACTCACACACACACACACACACACACACACACACCGTTTGTATTTAGATTAGACTTGAAAATTAACTTTAAAATGATCCTTTAAATATCCTTAATATTTAAAGGATATTAAGAGATATTTTTAAATCAACTTTGTGCTCATGCTATTTGGTCTGTAGATTGAGTATCAGAATATGATTATTTGTTCATTGAAATTATAATCAAAGAATTGTCCAAGTGTTGTTTTTATTTACTTGTAAAAGCTCATATGATTCATAAACCAAACTGGTTGTCCAATTGATTTCGACTTATAGTGACCTTATATGAGTGAATCGACTCTCTTCTAGGGTTTCTGAAGCTATAAATCTTTACGGAAGCAGTTTGCACAGCTTATGAGTAGTGGCTGGTGGATTCAAATCTTGGCCTTTCAGTTTAAGGTGGGGGGGGTCCTTAAAAGCCTGCATAGTCCTAATGGCAACTTGAAATTCTCATCCTCTAAAGTACTGTATTTCAAGCAAAGATAGGCTGGAATGAAGTCATATAAAGTATTTTAAAAAATTGTCACTTGCAGGATAAATGATCATAAGTGCATGTTTATAAATGTTTCTACTAGGCATTTTTGTACCATAAAATTTCATCATACATGCATGTTTGTTTCTGTACCCTATTCTGTTCCTTAGATCATTGTATATATTACTTGTTGTAATACCACACTTTTCTTCAGCTTTTTATGAGTTGTTATATCTGGTTAGACAAGTTTTTGCCTCTTATTTTTCTTTGGCACTAGTTTGAGAGTGCCTTTACTTTTTCCTTACACATTTTATACTTATTCTGTCGAGTTTCCCAAATAGCATATTAGGATTTTGATTGGAATTGAATACTTAAATGAGTTTCTGGTATGGTGTTTTCTTAAAAATAAATAGCCTATTATGATATCTTTTAACAATTAAAGCTTTTATTTTGGTAAATTTATTCCTGGACAGCCTTTCCCCTTTTCCCTTGTTATTATTGTAAATGATATCCTTAAAAAAGTTTTTTTCCTATGCACAATGATGTAGTTTTGGTTCTTATATCCAGCAACCTTCATAAGTTCTCATTAATCTAATAATTTATAGTGCAATCTTTTAGTATTCTTTTCTGTAGAGAGAATTATAACTTATTTACCCAATACTTTTTTTTCTCTTTGTTAAAAATTTCTAATTCTTTTTAAATTATATTTTTGCCATAATAGCCTGGCTAGGTCCTTGAGAAAATTACTGAATAGAAAACAGGATAGTAGGTAATCTCATCATTTTCTTTCATTTGAAGGCAATGGTTTTAGGAGCCCTGGTGGCATGGTGGTTATGCATTGGCCTGCAATCTGAAGGCGTTGCTTTTAACCTTTCACCATTAAATGTGTTATTTGTTATACATTTTTTGTAGCTACATATTTTAAATAGGGCAGTTACAGATTACGTATTTTAAATCGGTTAAGAAATTTCCCTTTTGCTGTTTTGTCAACAAGTTTTTAAAAATTAGTTTATTAAATTTTTTACATGCCTCTATTACTTGCTTTCCTTCTTTTTATTAATGTAAGAAATTACATTTATACTTTCTTTTTTGAACTGTCATGTAGTTGACTCTGACTCATAGCTACCCTGCAGGACAAGGTAGAACTGCCCCATGGGGTTTCTGGGTCTGTAACTCTTCAGATGATCATTTTCCTGTACAGCGGCTGATAGTTTAGAAAGCTGACCCTGGGGTTACCAATACCCCTGATGCAACCAATACTCTTCCAGCGCTATCAAGTGATATATTGCATCTTAAATTCCTGGGGACAAACACAGACTTGGTGGTGTCATTTTTACTTGGTTTGCTAAAAATTTTGAGGATTTTTGCTGAATCTTTTTGTGTATTTTCTTCGTTTGGTTTTGTGTTGTCTTGCTGTAAATTTCTACTATTGCACAATGACTTGGAGAATGTCCTTTTCTGTTTGTATAAGTGCTTGTGTAAGATTAGAAAGAGCTAAGTCTGATTTCACTACTTTTGGCTAAGTAACTGTTAGTTGGGTCTTTTGCTTTTGCTTTAATGGACCAAATAACTGTGGGTTAAATAAGAAGTTTAATGTTCTCCTACACGTGTCTGAGCTCGTAAGTGGGAGCAGGAGTTGAGGGCTGCTCTGGAACACAGAGAGCAGGTCAAAGTGCTCACACACCTCCTGCCAGGCTTTTGCCATTCCCCCAAGACATTTCCTCTGTCTGCATTTCAAGATGATGTATTTCCCCCACATCCTTATTCCAGCATGTAAGGTGGGAGTAGGTAATCTGATGGCTAGTTACTTCCTTGTAAAGACTTGACCTTAATTTTGCATTTTTGCGCATATTTCATCACTCAGAACTACTTAATAAGGCCAAGGTTGGGATGAAGAGTCTTTGATATACTTAGCTACAAAGTAGTTTTTGATATGCTTAGCTTAGAGTTGTGTTACTAAAAGGAAGAACAGAATGTAGAATAGGCAGTTAATAAGTTTATTGAATGAGTCTATAAACTGGAAATAATATCTCTCGCAGTTAAATTTTGGGAATTAAGTAAAAGAGTGGATTGGGTATCATGAAAAGGGCACATGGCCCAGAGAGTAAGCATTGGGCAGTTACAGAGAAACAAATGAATATGAGCCTGTCTCTGAAAGCTGATTGTTTATACCATCTTCTATGGTTCTTTTCTGTCCAAGATTAAACTCAATGTGTTTTTGCCTTAGTTAGCATTTGATTTTTATAATCTCACTTGATATAATAACTTACTGAGGTGTTAGATGTTATTAAATATTAATTTTGCCCATATGCCATCTTTTATACAGTTTTATACACAGAATCATGTATTTGTTTCTAAACAGCAGTATTTTGTGGTATCTATCCATGTCAGTAAATACAAGGTCTCCAGATCATTTTTAATAAACTGCTTTCTCGCAGTGCTTTTGACATGCAATAGCCTATAACATGGCAAAATGTACAATTGAATATGTTTTAACATTTATGAAATCACCACAATCCATCCTGTTGAGAAGTTTACTTTGTAACTTCTCCCTCCAGACTCCCTGTCCCAGCAATACAGGTCTGCTTTCTGTCTCTATAAGTTAGTTTACATTTTTTAGATTTTGTAAGAATGGACTCTGTAAAGTACCATTTAAAATAACTGCTTAGTGTATGTCCTTGTATCAGTGGACCATATGTTATTTATTTAATCAATCTTCTAAACATTTGGATTGATTTTTCCCCTCTCCATTAATAAACCAGACTTTAATATAGCAAAATATTTATACAAGGGTAGACACCTAGTTAGTAACTTTTTCTTAAGATAAAATTCCAAAAGTGTGTTGCTAAATCAAAGGCTGTGGTGCCTCTTAAAATATATAAATGCTAGACTACCCATGAAACTACTCTCTCACTACCTGCTCTTAGCGAAACGCTTTCTTCTCCGAGAATTAACTTTGTAATTAGGGGAAAAATTTAACATGGTAGGTAAAATTGATGTCTTGTTTTAGTTATAGGTTCTTTTTTCTTGCTAATGATACGTTAAGGAGATACTTAAGGTGTTCCCTTGTGAATAACTGAGGCTGCAAATCCTGTATTCTTGCATTTTAATGAGTAACAAGCAAAATTTTAAGTTATGTAAACTATGCAATGCCATGTTTAATACAAAGTATAATTTTGTTGATTTATCTAAATAATTGTCTTGTGTTTTTTTTGAAGGTTTGTTATTGAACTTTGTGAACCAATTCAAGTGAAACAGTTTGATATTGCCAATTATGAATTATTTTCTTCTACTCCTAAAGACTTTCTGGTTTCTATCAGTGACAGGTAAATTCTAAATCTGCTTTCCGGAGGGTCTGTACATTGTTAGATGCTAATGGTTCCAGCTCATGGCGACCCTGTGTAGAACAGAAAGAAACACTGCCTGATCCAGCACTGTCCTCATAATTGACTTTGTTTGGACTAAGTTTTGCAGCCATTGTGCCAATATATCTTTATCAAGGGCCCTTTTCTGATCTCCATAATAAAAAAATTTAAATGGGTCACTCAGCTTCAAGCAGTTTAGTTTTTCTTCTAATGTACCAGGTTATAATAGTAGCAATGAAATTAGTGTAGGGTAGGCACTTTTAATCACTTCACTTTCAATAACATATATAATGCTGATAACAAGCATGATATTATCCCCTAGAACAGCAGTTCTCAACCTGTGGGTCGCAATCCCTTTGGGGGTTGAATGACCCTTTCACAGGGTCGCTTAAGACCATCGGAAAATACATATTTCTGATGGTCTTAGGAACCGAGACACCGCTCCTTTATCCGTCTCCAGGAGGGTCCTCCCACATGCAGATACACCCACCTATGAGTACTCGGCGTGAAGACTGTTACCCATGCTACCCCATGCTTCAAGACAAAATTTCATTTATGTGTCATTAGAAATAAATATTTCACAATCTATAATGACATTGTTTTTGTGATTAATCACTATGCTTTAATTATGTTCAATTTGTAACAATGAAAACACATCCTGCATATCAGATATTTGCATTATGATTCATGACAGTAGTGAAATTACAGTTATGAAGCAGCGACAAAAATAGTTTTATGGTTGGGGGTCACCACAATATGAGGGGCTGTATTATAGGGTCGCAGCATTAGGAAGGTTGAGAACCACTGCCCTATAAGCTAGGAAGCAGACAAGGCAGAGGTTAAGTGTGTAGGTCACCTGAATTGTGAATGGAAGAGTCCAGATTCAAATCTATATATCTGTGACTTCAAAGTCCTTATTTTTAATCATTATGCTCTATTATATCTATTTCTGTAGAACGTCTGAAGAATACACTAATGCTGCATTTTATATCATGAAGTATATTTCTCTTAAAATAATTTTAAAATCTTTGGGTGCATGTGGAACGATAAAAGAAATAAACACTAAAATAGTTGGAAGAGAACCACAAAGATGATATAAAGCATTGTTTGCATTTTGATACATTATTTGGGTCTTATGCATTTATGTATTTTTACTACTTTTTACTTCTCATGCCCTAAGAAGGTCCCTTTGTTTTAATCACATTGATGAATTCTTACTGTTGTCCCCAATGGAGATATTTATTTATTCTATAAGTACTTTTGGAGCTCCCGTAATATGCTGTGCAGGTTGCCAGTATTCAGCTAATCAATCTTCTGTCATTGTTCATGAATAGTTTTTCTAAGGTGTTTCTTATCTCACTCCATGCTCAGCTTTGTCTAATACACAGTTTAAAAAAATCAATTTTAAAAACCTTTTGAGATTTCCAGCCCCTTTTCTGCTATTAGCCTTCCTCGTGTCACTTCTCTTTCTCTAAAGTGCGATTTTCCCATCTGCTGAATAGATGGCATTGAACTCTGACACTTAGTGTGTATTCCATTTTAACCATGTAAGAAAACCCGCTGTCATTGAGTCTGTGCTGCCTCACAGCCACCCAGGACTGTAGACCAGAGCTCTTTATTTTGAGGTGGTCCTTACTTGCTGCAGCAAAGAAATAATATGTTTATGCTTTAATATTAGATTTCCTTTTAAAGGGGAGCAGCTATTCAAGACTTGTTAGATTTAAGTATGATGGTAAAGACTTATAATCCTTTACGTTTTTCCACCATTATATGAAGCGTCGTAATTTCTTTTTCTAACACAATCTCTTGGTGGTTTTCTGTTTTAAAATCTCCAGTTCACTTGGGAGCTCTCAGACACCTAGAAATGGCCCTGGTCCTACATTTCCCTTCTTGTCCTCCCTCGTAGTTGGTAGTGGTATGATTTTTCAAGGTCTTCCTTCCCAGGAAAGAGTTCGTTTGGGGAAGAGTCAGTTGGGGGGAAGAAAATTTTGTTTAACTCAAGGGCCTGTCATATTTAGGCAATGTTAAATCAATATGTTTACCTTCAGAGGAGAAAAATGGTTTCAATATGTGATAGAATCTCTCAATATGTGGCTTATGATTTTAAAAAAGGTATATTTATGTTTTCTAGATATCCCATAAATAAATGGATTAAGCTGGGTACTTTCCATGGTAGAGATGAGAGAAATGTCCAGAGTTTCCCTTTAGATGAGCAGATGTATGCAAAATATGTGAAGGTAATGCTTACACACATGTAACTGTGTTCTCTAATGAATATATATACCTGTCATTCATCCCTTTATCAATCAGATTGAGAAAGGGGAAATGTATATAGTATGGAGTCACATAGTTCTTACTTGGATATATCATGGGACAAATGTTAAAACCAGTCCCTAATGGAAACCTAGGCCGGTTTTTTGTCATTTATGTCTCACTGAAATTCTGGACTATGATTCATAGTCATTTTATAATCTTTTATGTAAACTGTCACTGTTTCATACAATTTTTATTTTGAGACCTAAATCTTAATAATCACCAAAATCTTTAAAGCAGGTCTGATTTCTTATAATATGATCCTTAGATCATTTTAATTTTAATATATATTTAGTTGGCATTAGTATCAATGGGCTTTTGCCTTTTCTTTGTATAATCAAGTGAAATATTGTGCATCTAAATGCCAGTTTCAGATATATCCCACATTCCCTTCTGCTTTCTCCATCAATGAATCAAGTAGAATTATAACTTTTAAAATGGATTTAGAAAAAACTTTTAGTGTCTTTCTCCTTCCTTCCTTTTCCTTAAAATAATAGCAACTCTGTCATTTTCTTTTTTAAATATATGAACTCACAGCTACCTAATTATCTTCTGGGATTTGACTGTCTGTAACTTTTTAAAGCATGTATTAAATCTACTTTTTATAAATGGATAAACTTGTAGTATTCCTAGCTGAAGTCTAAAGGTGCTAAATTTTACTATTTAAATATAGTTGATATTCTCAGTTAAGGATTCAACAGTGTCAGGAAAATGAAGATAAAATTTCAGTTCCTTTTTAAGTGAGTACTGAAAATTATTTAATGACCTTTAAATATAGAAAGAGCATGGTTTTATACTGTGAGGAAAAAAAGGTTAAGAATTATTTGCCAGGTGACACACTTGTATTTAATTTTATAATTAAATACTGCTAAAGAGTTCTGAAAATCATTCTGTATACTATAAATTGTTAATGATGGAAGAATGGTTTATTGATGTCATGCAAAATGCTGCATTAAAACTCCCCACCTTTTCCCTTTTAAGATGGGAGGTTGTAGACCGTTTAGCATTTAGAAAATGCCCTCCTTCGTACAATTGAATCTAAATAAGCCAGCAATATGTACTTCTGATTTTCAGTTTATATTATTTTACATAGATTTTTCTTATTCAAAAAGAATTTTTTAATACTTTGTTTCATGTAGATTGATATTATAGCTTTCAGTTTTGTAAGTTAAACTTGAAATGATATACTACATTAAAAAATTTATGCGATCCCTGAAACAACTTACACTGTCATACAATTATGAATGTTATATTATGATAATTATTTTTTTAATCAATATGGACTACTGTATATGCAGATGACCTCTTCTGGCATAGTGGGTTATAAACTATAAAGTCAGCAGTTTGAAACCACTAGTTGCTCCTTGGGAGAAAGATGAGGCTTTCTACTCTGTAATGGTTTACAGTCTTAGAAAACCATAGGGGCAGTTTTATTCTGTCCTGTAGGGTGGCTATGAATTGGAATTAACTCAGCAATGAGTTTTGGTTCTTTTTAATAGCTACCTAGTTATCAATAGACTCATATAGCTATAAAACCAAAAAGCCAAACCTACTGCTATGAAGGAGATTCCAACTCATGGTGACCCTATATATATAGGGTTTCTGAGATTACAAATCTTTATAGGAGCTGGCAACCACATCTTTCTCTTACGGTACAACAGGTAGGTTTGAACTGCTAAACCCTGTAATTATCAGTACCTAACCTACAGCACTATCAGGGCTATATATATAAAATACGAAGCTCTAATATTAAAAGTAATGTAAGACACTGGTTGTTTCTAGGTGTCGTTAAATAGTTGGTTTGGGAATATATATAAATATACATATACACACACACACACACACACACACACACATATATATATATGGAAAACATTAACAATGAAAGGTTATTTAACTCTCCCCCTTCCTCTCGGTTAAAATATTACCCATTGCCACTGAGTTGATCGTGACTCGTGGTGACCCTATAACACAGTAGAATTGCCCCCATAGAGTTTCCCAGGCTATCAGTCTTTATGGCAGCAGACTGCCACCTCTTCCCCCCAACGGGTGGTTCGTGGGTTCCGACTGCCATCCTTTCCATTTGCAGTTGAATGCTTTAGTGACTGAACAACCAGAATTTCTTCATTAACTTTAAAGCTAATTTAATTTATTTCAGCACAGTTATTAACATATTACCTTCTGGTTGTGATGATAAAATTTAATTTACTGCTTTGATTTCTGCAGACTGACAAATACTACAATGTTATCCATAGTACATTGCTATCTATACTTTTACTTGTACAATTTAAAACTATTTAAAATTGCTTTTGGCATGTTATCCAAACCTTTGAACTGATTTTCTTTTCATTTCTCTTGCTTCAGATGTTCATCAAGTACATAAAGGTTAGCAACCTTCTCTTTTGCTATATTGAATAACAGGGCAGGGCATGTTAATGCATGGCTAGAAAGAAAAACTTTACAAGTGTTGCTTGCTGGGGAAAATGAAGACTTTAGTTTTAGAAATGTTAAAATGAAAAAATCCATAATGATGTCTTTTGTAATCTCAGGTGTACTATATTGGCTTTCCATTTCATGAGCATTTGTTCTTTAGGTGGAATTTATATCACATTTTGGATCAGAACATTTCTGCCCATTAAGCCTTATCAGGTAATACAAAGTACAATATCATTAATTAAATCATTTAAAAACTGTGTGTGAGTATCCCATATATTTAAAATGAAGAAATAATTTCCTTTTATGTGCATCTAATACCAGAGAGGTGAAGCTATTAAACTGTTTATTGTCTTGAATGCATTTTATAGAAATGTCTATAATACAATGTCTATTTTAAGAAAAATAGCCTTCATTTTATGGGTATAGTGTATAGTGCTCCAAAATGCAACATACTGGCATGAAACAGGGAACCATTAGAGAGGTCTGAGGGGCCTGCCCCAATCTCAACTAAGTGGGCAGCCCCAGAAGAATTTAATTCAGAGTACAGCACTGAAGCTACAGCTCGGAGAGGGGGACATAGCTGATCAGGGCACACAGGAGCAAATGAAGGGGAAGGAAGAGAAAGTGGAGTACATTCTGGCCCACCAATCCTTGAGGACGATATCCCTGCTCAGAGCAGCCAATGCACAGAGAGGACCATAGGGCGGGCCCCACCACAAGACAAGTCATCCCAAACTGACCCATAGCCCTACAGAGGATAACACTGGAGACAAAGTGTGGGAATTGCGCCCAATCTGACCCCACCACACCGAGGCAAAACACTAATGGCACCGTGCAACAGAAAAGCAAGGGGAGCAGAGCATGGGAGTCCCGAGGGAATACCAAATACAGACTTTGGGGCCAGGGTGTGGAACCCCATCAGACGTGACTGGAAAATCACTCCTCAAGGTCAGCAAACAGACCTTGAATTATTCACAGGTTTTTCTTTTTTTTTTTGTCATTGGCTTTTTATTGTTTTGTTTTCTTTTGTTGCTTTGTTTTGCTCTTTCTTGTTTTTTGTGCATAATATTATCTCTGCAGGTCTATCTAGACAAGATAGGCGGGGTAAACAATCTGGAGGAGAAAACAACTGAACTGAGATGGGAAGGGGGGCATGGGAGAGGGGGAGGCGGGGAAAAGGAAGTGGGTGTTAACAACCTTAGGGACAAAGGAACAGCAAGTGATCTAAAATTGATGGCGTGGAGGGTGCAGGAGGCCTGGTAGAGCTTGATCAAGGGCAATGTAACCTAGAGGAATTACTGAAACCCAAATGAAGGCTGAGTATTGATAGTGGGACAAGAGGAAAGTAAAAGGAAATAGAAGAAAGAACTACGAGGCAAAGGACACTTATAGAGGTCTAAATACAGGCACGTACATATGTAAATATATTTATATATGACGGGGAAGTAGATTTATGGGCATATATTTATAGGTTTAGTATTAAGGTAGCAGAGGGACATTGGGCCTCTACTCAAGTACTCCCTCAATGCAAGAACACTTTGTTCTATTAACCTGGCATTCCATGATGATCACCTTCCCAACACGATTGCTGAAGACAAAGTAAGTGGAGAAGCAAATGTGGTGAAGAAATTTGATGGTGCCCAGCTATCAAAAGATAAAGCGTCTGGGGTCTTAAAGGCTTGAATAAAAACAAGTGGCAATCTAGCTGATAAGAAACAAAGTCCACATGGAAGAAGCACACCAATCTATGTGATCACAAGGTGTCGATGGGATCAGGTATCAGGCATCACAAAAAATCATATCATTGTGAATGAGGGGGAGTGCAGAATGGAGACCCAAAGGCCATCTGTAGGCAATTGGACATCCCCTTAAAGAAGGGTTGTGGGGAGGAGAAAAGCCAGTGGGGAGGAGATGAGCAATATAGCAATAATGAAACAACTTTCCTCTAGTTCTTTAATGCTTTTCTCCGCCCCCCACCCCCACCCCGCCCACTATCATGATCCTTATAAATCTGGCTAGACCAGAGGATGTGCACTGGTACAGATAAGAACTGGAAACATGGGAATCCAGGACAGATAAACCCTCAGGACCAATAATGAGAGTAGCAATACCAGGAGGGTAAGGGGAAGGTGGGGTAGAAAGGGGGAACTGATGATAAGGATCTGCATATAACCTCTTCCTTGGAGGACAGACAACAGAAAAATGGGTGAAGGGAGACATTGGGTGGTGTAAGACATGATAAAAGACATGATAATTTATAAATTATCAAGGGTTTGTGAGGGGGAGAGGGAGGGGGAAAATGAGCTGATCCCAAGGGTTCAAGAAGAAAGAAAATGTTTTGAGAATGATGGCACCAAATGTACAAATGTGCTTGAGACAATGGATGGATGTATGGATTGTGATGAGTTGTATGAGCCCCCAATAAAATTATTTTAAAAAGAAAAATAGCCTTCATTTTTATGGGTATACTGTGCTTGCTCTCTTATTACAGTGATAAAATATAGAAATTTAGATTGATATAAAAAGTTGGCCATTATATTTTTAAGTGCCCTAAAGATTTATTTACATTTGAATAGAAACTATGGATGACTGGAATACAACGGAGCATTCATTATTTTGGACTCTAAAATCTAAGTCTTGCAAAACATGACCCAAGTTGATGTGTTGTTTCATTAGCTATGAAAAGATGAATTAAGTTTTGATTTGAAAGTTCTTAATCAAATTGTTGTTAATAGGGTATTTGGTACCAGCATGGTGGAAGAATATGAAGAGATTGCTGATTCCCAGTATCAGTCAGAACGTCAAGAATTGTTTGATGAGGACTATGGTAAGTAACTCTAGAGGGACGATTAATGTCTTTGGCTTTTTAAAGAATGTGGGTATATGTAATTTCAGGAGTGTTGGTGGCATAGTGGGTTATGTACTGGGCTGTTAAGTGCAAGGTCAGCAGTTAAAAACCGTCAGCCACTCCGATGGAGAAAGACAAGGGTTTCTGTTCCTGGAGAAGTTGCGTGGTAAACTATTGAAAACTTACATAAAAAGTCATATAATGTGTTCAAAATTTTGATAAGCAGCAGCATTCTTTTTCTTAGTTTGCATCTTTCTATTGAATGGGTTCTGGATCTCATTTTCTAGTTACAAGCCTGTTTTAGAGATCTAATTATATTATAAAAGTATGTTAAAAATATCTGATGTGACAACATATAATTGGAGCTTATACAATATTATTGTAGATAACTTTTAATAGTCTCTTATTCATATTTCATTTTATCTTTTAAGCAGATTATCCACTGGATTATAATACCGGGGAGGATAAATCTTCAAAAAATCTTCTTGGTTCTGCAACAAGTGAGTCTTGTAGTGTTTTTCTATACTTTTGGTAATGACAAGTTTACTACTGAAATGTTTCTAAAGCTTCTTAATTTTGGCATACATGGATATTTTGTACAATTTAGGAAGATCCCACTTCTAATAATTGAATTTTCAGTTGAAATCAGAGAGAGGAAAAAGGAAAAAAATGGAAGCGCATAGTGAAAGAAGTTATATTTTAATCTAATGAGACCTCATTCTTTGAGGCAAAATCAGCTTAATACAGAAAAAGCACATGAATTTACTTGAGAAAAGAATTATTAAAGAGATCCTACATGCTTTTTAGACCTGATAGTTAGGAACATCTGTGTAACCATATGTTGTATGGGAAAGGAATTTGAATGTTAGTTTCAAGGATTGCATCCATCAGTGGAGTTCTGGCCAATGAAGATTTGTGGTTAATAGATGGATATGGTTATTTCCTTATATAGTTAAATATATATAAAGGCTGTCTCTTTTTCATGGTAGCAATGAATGAACAAGACATTAACAGTAGTAGGATGAGTTTGTGTAAACTAAAGGAATGGTGACTAGCACACTAGTGGTTTAGTGTATTGCTGTTAGTCCAGTTTAGCATGTGGACACATTGGTAGTCCAGGTAAGGAAAGACCATTACCAACTGCCACTGCGTTTTCCTCTTAAGAGTCTATGTGGATATATTTTAATGTGCTTATTATTCTTGGCTATTCCTAAAGAATGTAAAATTTAAAAGGGGAGCAGCGATACTAGGAGGGTCAGGGGGGGTGGGGACAAGGGGGAACCGATCACAATGATCGATGTATGGCCCCTATCCCAGGGGGGCAGACAGAAGAAAAGTGAGTGAAATTAGACAGCAGTCAGTGTAAGACATGAAAACGAAAAAAGAAGAGTTTATAAATTATTAAGGAGGCATGGGGGAGGGGGGAAAACGAGCTGATGCCAGGAGCTCAAAAGAAAGAAAGTATTTTGAAAAAGATGATGACAACATAGGTACAGATGTGTTTGACAAAATGGATATATGTATGAATTGTGATAAGAGCTGTAAGAGCCCCCAATAAAATAAAATGAAACTTAAAAAAAATGTTAGTAAGATAGAAGACTTGTTGCCTATGTATCTCTGTTGGTTCTCTTAGTGAATTGAATTGCTTAAATCCTAATCCCAGTGTGAGCCTTCATTTTACGGCTTTCAAAGTGATTGGCCCGCAGTGCCTTCGCTACGCCACAGTACGTGGACTTAAGAGTCACAGCTCCTTATGTCTTTCCCTCCTTCGCATCCATTCAGGACTATGAACCTCAGAGGACGTTTGAAGGGTTGGGAAGAGAGTGTTAAAATTACCTAAAAGGAAAATTTGCATGACATTTATGTAGCATCTGGCTTCTTTATATGTCCACTTCTATTTATTATTGAGTAGCTGATTTTTAAGATTTTAGTTCCATCTTTTAAGTATGATTCCCAACTATTTACTTGATCATGGTATAAAAATGAGTGTCTTATTCACTGCTGTGCATTGTCATTTGGGGGAATTTTTTGAAAAACAAAAACAAAACTATGCCATTTTATCTATTAATATTGTCTGGATACTTACATTTGTATTAAACAATTCTGTAAGTTCAGTGATAGTCTTATTCTGCCACTGGAAAAGCTGAATAATGCTGAATTGGTTATTAGAAAGCATCTTTTTTTTTTTTTTTTTAGGTCAGAAAATTGCCCACGCTAATATAATCTCTAGCTTACAGAGGTGACTGAAAAAGGAGTAATGCCTTACCATAGTTTTAGAATTCTTATATTCCCAAACCTATTTGTCCTACCACCTCCTTTTCGGGGGGCGGGGGGTGAGGCAGATTTACTTAGTGTCTCCTGGCAACTGAGAAATTTTGTACTGTAACCCATAACCCTGGAAAAAGTGTAGGTACTTGCTTTTGCAGGCCCTTGGATCGATCCAGGCCACCCCACCCACACCCGTCCACAAAACAAAACAAAACACTGCTTTAGAGCAAGAAAAGCACTGCTGGTATTCTCGGTTTCCCGTTCCTGGCTCCTGTTGCTTACTACTGCTACAGCTCATGGTGGCCCTGCGACAACACATGGAAAGTTGCTGGGTTTGGTGCCATGTTTGCTGTCATCATATGCTTGAGCCCATTGTTGCAGCTACTTTGAGTGCCTTCCAACCCCACAAGTTCATCTTCCTGTATTGGTCAGTTTTGTATTGTGATCCATACAGCTTTTTTTACGTTACTTTTTGGAAGATCTCCAGAACTTTCTTCCTATTCTCTTTTTAGTTTAGAAGCTCTGCTGAAATCTGTCCTCCATGGCTGGCCCTGCTATTACTTAAAATACCAATGGCATAACTTCTAGTCCTACAAACTCACAGAGAGGGGGTGGAATTAACTCCTAGACAACTTAAAAAACGTAACTGTATTTCAATGGAGGTCATCTCTCATTCTCAGTGACTTGTCTAGCTGATATACTATTTTGATTATAATTAGACATAGAATAATCTTTATAGCCCACCTTTTAAATCTTGACCTTGAAGTATGCTCCTTGGTGTGCTGTGTCCTCCTTCCACCTCCCCCTGCCCTCCCCCCCCTTAAAAAAAACCTACCAGAAAATACAATTCATTTTTTTTAAAAGAATTTTTATAGTGAGAATTTTATAGGTGTCAAAAGTGAGACAAGTTGAGTCATTTGAGGCTGAACCTGAAAAATCTGGTTAGAAAATACCTTTTTCTTCAGAGGTTCAGAGTAAAACAAAGGCAGTAGGAGCTGAGTGGTCTCATAAGACTTTGCCACCATAAAGCTTGTAGACATGACCTACCACTGCAGCCTTCTGTAGCCAGGCTCCTTTTTAGTATTTTTCTAAAGATTCCGCGACTATTTTTGCCCTGGCTACCACCTCCAAGGTGATAGAGCATTTATAATAAATAAAAGAGTGGAATCAGGCTGAGGTGATCTCTTAGACTAGAATGTCAGGTTTAACTCTGATGACCACCCCTTGTTAAAACAGCTTGAGATTTGAACCTATGTAAATTTTTCTTAGCTTGCTTGCTTGCGTGCTTGATTTATTTATTTATTTATTAATTAGCAGGTTAGTTTTAATATTTCTTTAGTTTCCAAAGTAGAATTCCCTGGCTTTAGTTTATTAAACTGTTAGACACCTGGTTTTGCTGTTGAGGGTAGTATATGTCACCATATATTGTCAGAAAAGACTTCACACTGATGCTTTTTCTCAAGAGGAAAAAACACAGAAGGTTGTTTGCTGTATTTGTTAGCATTCTTTAAACCTCAAAAAATTTTTTTCTTAGATTAAGAAAGTAGAAATTTTGCTTTTGTTATTAAGTAACTCCTGGAATAATGATTATAGTTTATTGTGGTTGCTGTCATTATTAAAATTCAGGTTTAGGGTAGCACAAGTGGCTAAGTTCATGGCTGCTTAATGAAAAGTTAGAGCTTCAAGTCCACCCCTGCAACCAGGGCCTCTTTGACTAATCCCACTTTAGCATGTCAAAGAGCAAGCTTGACCTTAGATATAAAACAGCAAATACCAAGCTGTGTGTTTAATACTAATGTTGATTGCAAGCAGAGTCCCTACTTTGTAGCTTTCTAGGTAATGAAACAAAATTATGTGGAGATCAAAATGATGGCGCCAGCATAAAGGGTCTGCTCCCAGGAACACCCTCTGTGGGGAAGTTCTCAGAGGCCTGCTGTCAGTCGAAAGGACTTGACACCACACAGCAACTAACTGTAATCTTGAAAATGGTCTCAAAATCCCGAGTTCTTCTTCTACCCTCAAGCATGTATTTACACATATGTTAGAACTTGCCTTATTCCCATATATCTCTGTATGCTACTGTGTCCTCCCTCAGTCACTTCTGTTTTTCACATCTCCGGTTTCCATGGAAAGTGGAAAGCAATGACAATTCTTTGTATCTCTCTTAGGCCCCAACAGATCTTAATGTTATATATATTTTAGTATGAGAGAATGAATACTTGATACTGAAGGATTAATTTCAAAGACAGATTGGGAATGAAATTCCATGTGTAGTAATGGGTATCCTTTGTATTTATGTCACATTAATGAGAGGAAGCCACCTTGTTCCCAGCATCAGTTTTTGATGAATTCTGTTTGTGGTTCTCATGTACCTTCAGCTGCTTAAGTACTTTTGTACCACTTTGACTCATCACTTTCCTTAGAACAAGAGGCGGATTTAGCAAGTATGAAAATTACTCCATCTTTAACCTTTATAGCCTCGTAATTTAGACTTTCAATTAATCTGCCCCTTGCCTATCCTCACAGTTATTCACAAAAGAACATATGCTTTATAATCCAGGGAATGTTGCTATTTTAACCAATGATTTGTAAAAAGAATCATGTAAGAAATTGTTCTCTGTAGTATCGCTTTGGAATTTAACCATACTACAAATACATATAGAAGCCCTGGTACCATAGTTTGTACACTTTGGGCTGCTAACCACAAGGTCAGCAGTTTGAAACCACCAGCCCCTCCATGGGAGAAAACCAAGGCTTTCTACTCCTCTTAAATACTACAGTCTTGGCAGTGCACAGGGGCAGTTCTACCCTGTCCTAAGTTTCACTGTGAGAAAGCATTGACTTAATGGTAGTGAGTTGGGTTTTGTTTTTTTTTACTAGTAAGAATAAATGAGTCATGTTGGCACAGTGCTGGTTAAAGCAGCCCCCTACAAAAGATTATACTCACTAGCTGCTCTTTGGGAATAAAGTGTGGCAGACTTTCTGTAAATATCACAACCTCGGAAAGCCAGTAAGGCGGCGGTTCTCTCATGTTCTGCAGTGTCACTGAGTCAGAATCTGCTGGATGGCAGTGAGTTTTGTTTTGTTTTGACCAATGTCATAAGTTAGTAACTTTAATGCTTTTCTTGAGACATAATCTCCCCAGTTTTTACCTGTGATAATCACTGCTTAGGAAAAACTTTGTTTTCTTAAAGCGTTTTTGTGTTAGATCTCTCTCTTGTGGGAGAGAGATACCTTGGTCCTTCACTTCCTGTGAGAAAAATTCACACCGAAGCCTGGTGTGATCCAAGTGAGTTTTATGAAAGCTAGAAGCAGTTTCAGGTTTTACAGTAAATGGAGCACAAGCCAGACAAAGTCTGCGGCACCCACGGATCGCAACCTGGCCACGCTGCACTGTGTGGCAGCTGGGAGGGAGAGAGCGCCAGAGCAAACCTCTGGCGTTTCAGGCCATCCCCCTCCAGTTGGGAGTCGTGGTCGAAAGATACTGGTCACCCATTGCCCGAATCAAATTCACCTGTCCTAGTAGGACCAATCCAGGTGTAATGCCCACCTAGGTGTACCACCCCTTCCTGGCCAGGTGCTCGAACCCAACATTTTGTTTTTGTCTTAGAACCTTTAAAAAACAAAGCAGTCTTTCCTGTAAACTAAGAATTTAAGTCATACCATTTATTCCCTTCCTTAATTCAGACTATATGTTAAATTAGACTTGAATTTCTTAACATACTGAAGACTTTTAGTAAAAGATTTTACTTTACAAAAGTGTTTATTCAAATTTATGATGCCTTCTGAACATAAAAATTCAGTTTTACGCTTTACATTTTTTGGCTGAAATTTATTTGTATCCTGTGATGGATTAAGGTAATAATGTAACTTGTAAAAAACTGCAAAAAGACCATTAGAATTTTTTTTAAGATGACTTAATATTTATCTGAGGATATTTAGGTGGCTTTTATTTTTCCCTGATTGAATTTTGTTTTAGATGCCATTCTAAATATGGTGAATATTGCCGCTAATATTCTGGGAGCAAAAACAGAAGACCAGACAGAAGGTACCACGTCATTTTAAGGGTTTTTAGATTGTTGGTGATCCAGGGGTCTTTTTAGTTAGGGGGAAAGTCGATCAATCAATAACCAAGCAATTTGAGTTTTCATTTAAACATAAGGAACTTATCTGTCTTATTATTCATTATTTCTTTGAATTTCTAAGTTCCTTTTGTTGTGAAAAAGGATCTTAGTTATGTGAATGTGAAACTCGGGAATTTTTTGACTGTTTCCTGCTGAGGAAGAAAAATTCTCTTCCTTGTGTTTTGCACTGAGAGTTTGATGCCCTAATGATATTCCAGTACATTTTCCTTCCTTTTATGCACCATATGAGAAGGCCCCTTTTTTCCTTCAGAATTGCTAACAAGAATATTACTATCAAGAAAAGTGAGGCTTTCTTTCTTTTTTTTTGGTCATCTTTAAAAAGCTTATTGGTTCCAACTACAAACTTAAATTGATCCAATTATCTCCTTTCCTCTTTAAAGCCTTTCAGATGTCCAGAATACACATAAATAATAAAAAGTTACATGTAAAATTTATAGTCATATGACTTGTTTTCATTATCTGAGAAGTGGGGTATGCAGCCTTTGCAATTGTGAACTTAGCTAAACTTTTCCTCTCTACAATAATACCATTTTTATTTTAAAAGTAAAAGTCTACTCTAGCTTAAGGTGTTTTGTTGCTTTGTTCTCCCCTGCAAATCTAAATGCTTTAGTGAAATATTTTTATGGTATAGCTTTGTAAAATTGAATTCAACATTGGCATTTTTCTTAAAATAGGAAATAAAAGTATATCTGAGAATGCCACAGCACCACAAATGCCGGAATCAACTCCTGGTTCAGCTCCTGTCCCATCACCTGAGTAAGTTATATGATGTTAGAGATAGTCCTATGAAAATGGAGATCTCCTTCTGCTAGTACAGAAAATTGATCCTTGCAATTTGCATGTGAAGTGATTGTTTCTAGAATTGTAAGGCTGACATTCAATCATGAGGCCACTTCTGACATCTTTCAGTTGCTTCTGCCCATAAATTTGTGTGAGTGCTGGGAATAAACATCCTGTTTATTTGCCTCAGGGGGGGATAAAATAGAAGTTTAAATTTACGTTGTATTAAGTTGATCCCACTTTATTCCAGATCAAACATTTGTTGTTTTAACATTATGCATTACTTTTATTATTTACAAAACTAAGTTTTTCCTTATTGCATATAATTGACCTGATGGTGCAGACAAAGGATTAAGGCCATTTTTATGGCCTGTTATATTATTAAGATTATATTTAAAAGCATTTACTAATTACCTATGGTCTCACTAGAGAGCTGTTAAAGGTTCCCAAAGTACCTAGGGCCGTGGGTTGTTTTTTTTTAAATCATTTTATTAGGGCTCATACAACTCGTATCACAATCCATACATGCATCAATTGTGTAAAGCGCATTTGTACATTCATTGCCCATGGGCTGTGGTTTTTAAAGTACTATATATGTACTCATGCATAAGCCGAGTTTTTCAGCACATTTTTCTGTGGTAAAATTGGGTGCCTCGGCTGATATTCGGGTCGGCTTATACTCTAGTATATACGGGTATATGCTTGTCCCAGCAAACATTGTTCCACTGTTCAAATTGATCGATGTAGGTATTGTACCAGTTGCTCCTGGACCACTCTGGGTCAGGAGCAGATAAAATCTACCCATTTTTTTGTCTTTTTCTACCAGACATTAAGTTTTATGTTTGTTTTTTTTATTTCTGCTGCTACTTATCTATAATAGATAAGGTCATAATGATTTGGATAATTGGGTAAAGTTAGTATAGATTTTAGTTACCTATATTGCATTAGATACAGCTCCACTAGAACACTGAAAACCTTTTACTTCAGAAGAACCCTACTTCAATATCACATTTGAATATGAAACAATTCAAGGTAGAGTGTAATGAGATCTGTAATGGGTGTGCTTTGAACTGTAATTTCTAAGTATTTGGTAGTGACGGGTATGTATTCTCCTGCGTTAATCCCGAAAGTAGCTGAAGATATTTACTGGATTATTAAATTAAAAATATAGCATTATGTTACTTATTCCTAGAAAGTTAAAATCTATTGGTGACAGGTAATTTTGGTATTTTTAATTATGTGCCACTGTGACTGCTATTTCTCAACTTTGTAATTTGACTTATTCAATTAGGAAAATATTTCCAATGTTTCAAAATTAAATGGAACTAATTGCATTTTATGCACACACACCAATATCTGTTGAACATATTATCATATCATGTTATAAAACATACTAATGTTTAGTTTTTAATAGACATGTCCCTGGATTTATGTTTTTCTTTATGGTTCCACTCATCTTAAATTCTTTTGTATAATACTTGTGTGAAGAAAATAAATGGAAGTGAAGGAATCTACATACGGTGTCAAGTTAGAGTTGTTGTGAAATGGTAACTTAATTTTCTTTTCCTAGGTAGGAGATTTTTCCCCCTCAGCACAGCTGAGTAGGTGTATATGGTTCCCTACTTACCTTTTCTTCAGTCATTGCTCCTTTTTGCTGTCACAATTTGTCTTACAGATAAGAGAAATACCACATAGTATGTAAGATGATATTGTAATGGATATGCTTTAATAATCAAAATTATTTTAGTGAGGGGATTTTTTTTCTTTAAACCAGTGATCTTGCATATGTACGTTTATTTTATGACTATGCTACAAATACCAAAAATGCCTCTATTACTAATGTCTCTCTATGTTTGTTCTGTGGAATTCTAACATTACCCTCAGAAAATCATCTTTGAGAAATCTAGCTCATTTTTGGTTGTAGCAGATCTAGTCATAAAGTATATTCATAACTGTTAAAAATCTTGGGTTCTATCTCTGAGGCATAAAAGACCTTGGGCAACTCAATTTCTGATCTATAAGGAGTGAGAGACTTATAAAGATTTGGTGACTGGTTGGGAGGTGGCATAATATACATTCAATGATTGTAAGTCTTCACATATGTTAAAATAGTTCTTATGTAGAAATTAAAAGCAGGTCTGATTTGGCAAATATGATACCTCATCACTTGATAAATGGTCTTTCTACTATCTTTTTGTGGCATTGTATGTTTTGTTTTGTTTTTAATTGAGAGGGGGAGAAGTCATCCAAAAAAGCACCCAAGTTTCTTCTGTGCTTCCAGCCTGTTTTCTTACATATGACACATTTGTTTCCTTTAAACATAATTTTAACAGAGTTCTAGTTAAAGTGACTTGTAAATCATTCCTGCTTTTAGGTTTGTAACCAGTGATGTTCCTGGACATGAAACAGAGCCATCAACAGCGGACATACCAAAAGAGGAGAGTCCCATTGTACAGCTAGTTCAAGAGGAAGAGGAAGAGACAAGTCCATCTACAGTAACCCTCTTGGGCTCTGGTGAACAAGAAGATGAATCATTACCCTGGTTTGAGTCAGAGACACAAATATTTTGCAGTGAACTGACCACAATTTGTTGTATTTCGAGTTTTTCAGAATACATATATAAAAGGTGTTCAATGAGAGTTGCCCTTAATCGACAGCACAGCAGACCAGTTGTAAGAGAAGAAAAAGATGTTCTTTCACCTCAACCACCATTAATACCTCCTGTAGAATCAGTAGCTGATTCAGTATTGCAACCTCCAAGTGGAGAAATGGACAGTAAGAGTATGGAAAGGGAAGCAGAAACTGTTGCTCTAGGTGACTCAAGTAGCATGCACCAAAGTGATTTGGTTAATCACACTGTGGAAGCAATTGAACTTGAGCCAAGTCAGCCCCAAACTCTCTCTCAGTCTCCTCTCTTGGATATTACTCCAGAAATCGATACATTATCTAAAATAGAAGTAACTGAGTCTGTTAAACATGAAATGGGACATACACCATCACAAGCAATTCCCCAACAGAGTTCTTCTGTCGAGGTTGATAATGAAACAGAAAAGCCTGAGAGTTTCAGTTCCGCATCTGTGATCTATGAAGCAAGTAAAGTGAATGAGGTAACAGATAATATTGTACATGAAGACATAAGCTCCATGCAAATTATGATAAAGCTATCTGAAACAGTAGTGCCACCTATAAACACAGCCACTGTGCCAGACAGTGACAATGGGGAGGCCAAAACGACTATAGCTGACACACCAAAGCAAACTTTGACGCCCGTTGTGGATTCTTCTTCATTACCGGAAGTGAAAGAGGAAGACCAGTCTGCAGAAGATGCACTTTTGTCTATTCCTGGATCGAGTGGATTACAAAGGACAGCTACAGATTTTTACGCTGAGTTGCAGAATTCTACAGATCTTGTATATGCTAATGGAAATCTTGTACATGGATCAAACCAAAAGGAGTCAGTATTTATGAGACTTAATAATCGTATTAAAGCCTTAGAAGTTAACATGTCTCTCAGTGGCCGCTATCTGGAGGAGCTTAGCCAAAGGTAAGCTGTATTGTGAATGGGTGCATGGTGAGATAAGGTGTGTAGTATGGTCTGTGACTACAGATGCAGAGGATTTCATTATCTCCTGGTATGATAACACAATTTAGCCAGAGAGGTAGAAAGCTAGTTGGAGCCATGGTTTAAGGAATTGGATTTTTTTCCCCCCAGTATTTGGAGTAAAACCTTCCTATTCAGTTGCTTCAACACAATTAGTGGGCTGATAACAAGTCTGAATTACCTATACTCACTTTCTGTTGTCTTCTGTTGCTTAATTTTAGCCACAATTACAGTGATTTTTTTAGAGGTCTCATGGGAAAAATTTATTATTTTATAACTCCTAGTAAAACTAGACCAGATTTCATATAAGAGTTAGATAAGTGAAGACTAGATTGTACTGAGTCGGATGCTTAGGCACCATCTGCATTCAGATATTCCCTATAAACCCTAGCTTTTGTAATCCTGAGTGCCAGAGGCAGTGCTAGTGACAGTAAGTGTGTGGTTATGACCTCAGGCACAGTTCTCTAGTTTGTCAAACCTGTTTATTCTTTTCAACTCTCAGGTATTTTGTGCCCTTAGAACTTGCCATCAACAATGTGTAAGCACCTAGAAATCAAGTGTCTAGAGTTCCTGAACCGTCCCTCCCTTGTTCTATTCCTAAATGGAAAGATGTCATAGGGCAGTCTAAGATACCATTCATTCACATCACATACTGGTAAATTGTGTGTGTATGTGCGTATGCATGCACACTTAGCTACTGTACACCTGTTCTTTTCTCTTGGCTCCAAGGGAATCACAGAAAGCACAAAATCTTAGAAAGTAGTAAGATGCATAGAATTGATACCTCAAGGACTCTTTTATTGTGCCTTTGCAAGTTTTCTTGCATCCCACAGGCCTCAGGAAGAGTCATTTTAAGAAAATAGACTTATGCTATATATCACAACTGAAAGTGTTTCCAGAACTAAGTGAAAAAATAATAAACTAAAGATAATTTAAGTGAATATACTCCACAGATACCGAAAACAAATGGAAGAAATGCAAAAGGCTTTCAACAAAACAATTGTGAAACTTCAGAATACGTCAAGAATAGCCGAGGAGCAGGTTGGTTATCTTCATGGCTTCTCTTATTTTTTTGTGTAAGTGTTCGTTGAATTTTATAGGACCTAACTGGTAAGAAGGGCAAATAATTGTTGTTGTTATTTTCTTTGATACCTGATGTATAAGCCTGTTTTACGATGTCATATTGGAAATTTGGTATTAGAGTTGAATTCTCCTCTAGAGATGATTTTCTTAAAAATTATTCATTGATTTTGGTTGTTATAGACATGTATTATAAAGAGCCTGTGCTAGGTGCTAAGGATACAAAATACTAGGGATATGCGCTTTTTTTTTATCCTCAAATTCATCATAGCAAGATGAAGGACAGCTGAACAGATATTTACAATAAAATGTGACGGTATTATTATGTAGCACAGTCGAGGTTCTGTGGACGTTACACCAAGAGGAATGACTGATTCTGACTTCTGTAGAAACCTTCTCGCCTGGACTATCCACTGTGATCAGACTCCTGACATATCTTTGTTCAGGACTCCATTTGCTTCAGAGTACCCAAGGGCTTAAAATAATGGGCTAATTTTTAATTGGCGAAATCCCAAGGCCAGTGTGTCAGCTATATAAGATTTTCTGTAAGGTTTATCTAGCCCATTGCCTTCAGATTGATTCAGGCTCTTTGTAGAACTGCCCTGTAGGGTTCCCACAGGTATAAAACCGTGAAGAACAGACTGCCACATCTGTCTCACCTGGAACTGCTGTTGAGTTTGAACTGCCAACCCTTTGAATAGCAGCCAAGAATCTAACCACTCTGCCACTAGGACTCCAACAGCAGTGTTGCCATTTTATTTCCTTTCCTGGCCCCTTTTCATCTCTACAAGAATGAATAAGACTAGTACATTGCTCGTTCCTGTCTCATAGATTTTAAGGGAATGACTTAAGCATTGGACCTTAAAGCTCAGCATTTATTAATGAATTGTTGTGGTGTGTTACCGGGATAAAGACATTTCACACTGAGTTTTTCTAGAAGGTGGTAGATGAGGAGGCCTAAGGTTGCAGAGTTAATTTGCATCTCAACTCTCAGTTCATGTAATTATGCTATACCAAGTTCCCCACTTCTCTCCCTCACTTATGACCTTTGTCTTCTTCATGTGTACATTTTTGTATCATTTTATATGGCACTTTTGTTTACATTTTTAATAGTTAACATTTTATTTTAAAATAGTCTTAGATTAGAAAATTGAATAAGACAAGACAAATAATTTGCCTATTTATTTTACCAAAGTTCCCTAATGCTAGCACTTTATGTAACAATATAGTTATTAAATTCTTTTCAATAATAATAAAACAATACTATGAGCCCCAAGATCCAATGCAAGAATCATACACTGCGTTTACCTGTCATGTATCCTTTTAATAGAGAACAGCGCCTCAGTTTGTCTTTGCCCTTCAGGACTTGGACAGTTATTGGGCTTGTCTCTTGTTTCCTTGTAATGACATTCCTGTTATGCGTGTTGGCAAGAGGAGCACAGCAGTGATGTCTGATCCTTCTCAGGCATTGTACCAGGAGGCCTAGGGTGCCCTTTTGTACAGTTCCTGGTGCTGAAACTCTGATCACTTGATTCAGGTGATATCTATGAGGATGTCTACAGTGTTATAAAGTTAGGTTTTTCCCATGTCACAAGAAAATTCTCACTAATTTAGTATCTGTTGATGATTCTTTCCTGAAAAGTAATTACTGTGGTATTTGCCACAGGGTGGTTTTTTTTGTTTCCTCATTCCTTCTACATTTATTAATTATATTTCTGTAAGAAACAATGTATCTTCTTCTCTACTTACGTATTATTCAATTATATATATCAGTGTGGACTCCTGGATTTGAGGTTTTTAAATCTTATTATTTTTGTTGCATAGACTAACCTAGCCTTGGTCATTGGGAAACCCTTCAAGCTGACTCCCTGTCCTTTGGCATGTCCCCATCATTTTTTGAGCATTGGTTACTTTCTGTTTAGTTTGCCTAATTGCTTTGCTGAAATTTCTTGAACAATATTAGGAGCAGGCATCTTTTCTCTTAATGCTTATCTTAAGGGGAAAGAACCTCAGTTTTTCTCTATTGAGTATTGTGAGCTATGCTCTTCTTAAATGCCTTTTAGAAATATACCTTTAATTAATGTATTTTCATTGGTGATAGTCTAGGATTTATTAGACAACCAATTGTAGACTTTTGAGTAACACACTGAGTTCCGTTATAGTAGGCTATCAAATGGAATCTTTAATACTTTCAATACAAGTTCCCTCCCTTATTTTTTTGGATAAAATTAAATCAATTCAAGTTCTTGTCTTGTATCCTCACCCGTCTTACATGGGGTGAGGATACTAGTTTATATTTAGAAACATTCTGCTGAAAAATATCAATATGTCTGTGTGCAGACAGTTTTGCTTTACAAAAAACTATTTGCTAAAGTGACCGGAAACTGCCTTATTTTTGGTGGTTATATCCTGGCTTATACAGAGGGAACTCAGATCAATTTCAATGTTAACTTCAACTGTGTAATATTTTATATGCTTACAAGTGAATAGCATAAATTGAGGTTTGTGTGAACCCAGTTCCCGATTTTTCAAGTGGTCCTTTCTTGTCAAAGTTTAAGGTATTTTTACCTTTAAATATCATTAAGAATTCCCTGTTAGTAAATTTCTTTTAGAAATTTCCATGGCAGCATATTTTTTCCCCCAGATTATTTTACTAGGCTTTTTGTTGTAGTGGTAATATACACTTAAAACAGCGAAAAATAACACTTACTCCTTTCTGATAGGACCAGCGGCAAACTGAAGCCATCCAGTTGCTACAGGCACAACTGACCAACATGACACAGCTTGTTTCAAATTTATCAACCACTGTTACAGAATTGAAACGAGAGGTAATTGTCATTGTGAGTTGTTGTAAGACACACAGCAAGGATAGAAGTGTCAGAAGAGCAGCCTTTTAAAGAACGTGGTATCTGTGAACTCCAACCAAACAAAATTGCTCATTATAGAGAACTTCTTAACATATAACTCTAGCACATTTAAGTTTTGGAGCTATATAATTCATCATAGTGTTTTTGGCATTTATAAATTAAGCCTTACCAAAATACAGGTGTATTGATATAAAGCTATTCTGGCAGATCTTTTGCAAATTATGGAGAATAGCAATACATTTAGTTCAAGAAGGCCTCCCACTAAATTGTTTCAGCAAAACAAAGAATTTTATTGATTTAACAAATATTTACTGAGCAGCCAGTGTATGTGAGGCATTGATTATGATGATGTCCCAGGTGGGGCTCTTCACAGGGTTTACTTCTGGAGAGAGTTGGAGGTGCTTGTCCTTTGTGTTTTCAGAATCCACTCTATTTTGTCCTAGTGTGATTTACTATTAACCCTATTCTCAATTCCAGGTTTCAGATCGGCAAAGCTATCTTGTCATATCTTTGGTTCTCTGTGTTATCTTGGGACTGATGCTTTGTATGCAGCGCTGTCGAAATGCTTCTCAATTTGATGGAGATTACATTTCTAGATTTCCTAAAAGTAATCAGTATCCAAGCCCTAAAAGGTAACCCAGCATTGTATTTCACAATTCTTTTCTTTCTCTTTTTAACTATGCTTTGTTAAATCTTTGAGAAGTCTTGAGCAAAAAAAAGGATTCTGCAGTAATTCCTTTCCCCATATTACCTTGACACTAGAATTAAAAATATATATATATTTAAAATGTCCTTGAGGCTAGTGAGTTAGTCCTATCTGGGTGGTCCTGTGAGAACACTGATAATAACAGTAAGTGCATGGAAACCCTTGAAATGTTTAGGTTCAGAAAGACACTTAAGTGTGGAATGCAAAGAAGGTGAATAGGTATTTTAATAGTACTGTTTAGAAAATGACCCTGAAAGGCTTTCTTCATATAAGCTCTAGCTAGTTGTTAGCAACCAGATTAGGCCTATATGGTTTGTACCGTTTTCTTCATCTATCATGAACTGCATACAGAGTGAATTATATGTAGTTTACTCATCGGCTCCAATGTGGACTTTCCTTGATGTTTTAGGTGTTTTTCTTCCTATGATGATTTGAATTTGAAAAGAAGAACTTCATTCCCACTCATCAGATCCAAGTCTCTACAGTTAACTGGCAAAGAAGGTAGATGTTAGCAATATGTACTTTACTTACACGTGAATTTAGCTTTTGTTTGTTGTAAGTGTAATTTCAGTATTGAGTCTAAGCCCATCTGCTACCAAATGATGGATATAAGCAACATTTCTGTGTGTGCTGTTTCAAAGCCACTTTATCACTTTCACATTTTATATCCTGTCTTTGTTCCTAAAAGCCCAGGGGTGGGGAGGGGGTTTAGTTTATGTAATGAACCATTAGTAGTTATCTTTGCAGATGCTCCTGTTTAGAAGTATTTCTTTTTAGAAAGGGATGTTTGAGAAAGTTCAACAGATATGGAAAACCTGAGTGTGCTCCCATAGCTCCTGTGCTTATCTGCCTCCTCTTCCTATGAAGGTAGGACTCTTTGTGTCTCAGTTCAGGGCTCTGAGGCACTTTCTGAACAAAAATCTCACCCATCTCTATTTTTGTAGCTTTTAAGCCTAATGGTTTTCCATCAACTAACACTAATAATTATTTTTATTTAAATTGAAGTTAATGGATGTGTGTTGAATGACTTTTCCTATTTCAGTACCTTTGTAATTAGTGCTTGTTAAAAAAACTTGAAAAAAATTTTATAGCAATATTAAAATACTCAAGTTAGTTATCTATTTCAATTAGAAGTGCTTTCATAGCAATCATTGGCCTTTTGCCCCTTTCAAGTAACTGAGCAGCATGTTTCTTTCTGTGAGATTGTTCAAGTAGTCCTTCCTGAGCTTAACTGGTTTACTATGACCTTAGTCTCCCAGACCTAACACGTTACATGTGTTTGCTTAAGGCTAGTAAAGCTATTTTTCCTTGCTGCATGCTTTCTTTCCATTGTTAATCCTTTTGGCAAACGAAATTATACCAGGCCATATGTAAAATTCAACGAATTTTCACACAGTGAGCAAACTTGTGTAATAATACCCAGAATAAGAATCCTAACATTATCCAGCATCCCCAAACTTCCATGTGTTCTCTTAAGGTACTACCTCTCTCCTTCCACAGTAGCCACTACAGTGAACCCTCATTTATCGTGGTTAATCGGTTCTAGACCCTACCGTGATAAATGAAATTCCGCGAAGTAGGATTCCTTATTTGTAAATCA